AAAAAAAAAAAAAAAAAAAAAAAAAAAAAAAAAAAAACATCCCTTCATAATGGTCGTGTGCATGCTAACTGAAATGTAGCTCTGTGGAGAGGAAAAAAGAGCATTTCACAGCCACCATCCTCTGGAGAGGCCCCTTCACTATTCATGGTAGAATCTGCCCGATCTACACAGGGAAGGGATGCTGCCTGGCCATGTACTCCGGAGAGGGGAGGTTCCACCGGATTGTTCAATCCGGTAGCTGTAGAGCTTGCAAATGCACATCCACATACTGACAACACGGTGTTCTTCTTCTATCCAGCTAGGCGAAGTATTGCCATAGACAGGACTTCTTCGTTCACGCTAGCCTGGGGAAGTATTGTCATCCCCTCGAGACTGATGGGAAAGAACGGGTGGGTACAGGGACGCTGGACCCGATCAACGGGGAAGAGGTGCAGAGGCAGTCTTATGCAGGTCTCAGTTTACTTCCTCAAAAAAAAAAAAAAAGAAGGGAGGATGGAAGCTGAAAAAAAAAAAAAAAAAAAAGCGAAAATAAGTGCAATGAGGCAGTGGTCCAAGAAGGGAGAGGACAGGGGGAAGAAAGGGCCTGGTGGTGCCCTCCAGTGGCCCTGGCTGGCCCCTGCCCCCCTACCCTCATTGGAAAGAACGGCTGGTCAGGAGGCGCAGGGACGCTGGACCTGGTTTTTTTTTCCAGCAACATTTTTCAAGCGGGACTCCGCTCTTCTCTCTGAGGTAACAGGCTCAGAAGGGGGAAAAGGGGGGATGGGTAAAATGCACAGCACTTGTTAATTTTTTGCTTAGATCAGGCAACGTGTGAAATGGTGAAAAGGTGCAGAGGCAGTTACACAGATCTCAGGTTTTCTCAGCATAGCCATTCCCATTGTCGGCCTCGCCGCATGGGACACGAAACGAAAAACGAAACGAGCGCATCTTCCCGCAGAAAATGGCCAGGTTCGTCGGTTTGCTATAAATAGTAACGAGTGTATTTTGCCTCCTTTCGTGGCCAGATGCACTCGTTTGGTTTTCGTTTCTGTGCTGTGCGGCGAGATCCTGTGTTTGTACAAATTCTTCTTCATGTATGTAAGGGACGCTGGACCCGGTTTCCAGCAGGTGAAGCTGCCCACCAGTAATAGGGAGTCGCCGCACGACACACGAAACAAAAAACGAAACGAGTGCATCTTGCTGCAGAAAACGGCCAGGTTCATCGGTTCGCTATAAATAATAATGAGTGTATTTTGCCACCTTTCATGGGCAGATGCACTCGTTTCGTTTTCGTTTCGTGTGCCGTGCGGCGAGACCCATAGATGGAGCGGCCAGAAACAGGCTTACTAGGGGAGGCTGATTGTATCACCCCCGCTAGTGAGTCCGCTACAGACTTGGCAAAAAAAAAAAGGAAAAAAAAAGGGAAAAAAGAAAAGGGAAAAGAAAGTGCTGACATAGTACCGGCATATCTTCCCATGACCTTGACCACTCCCACAGCCTTAGGTGTGCTAGTGACCTCCACATGAGCTGCACTGATTGCATCCTGAGCAGCCTCAACAGCTGTATCAAATCTGGGGAAGGATGATGGACATGATAACCAAAAAAAACAAAAAACAAAAAAGAAGAAGAAGAAGAAAAGGGATACTTGTTCAGTAACTTCATTTTTTTTTAATTTTTTTTTTCAAAAAGCCAGGAAACGGGCCTGGCGTCCCTTACAAAGGATAGGTGGCCCCTTCAAAGGGCGTGACATCTCCGGTCAAACCCTAAGAACGGGCCACAGTGTTACAGCAAGCCCTAAGACCCGTCGAGCCTTTATCGACAACAAATTATTGGCAAGTCACCATCTCCATAAGTAGTGGTAGGAAGGTAGTGAAAGGCGAAAAAGAATTTGAGAGAAGAACATAGTGTAGTTTAAAAAAAAAAAAAAAAAAAGACTGAGGGCATAGTACCCGGCATACGCACACTAACACTTTCCTAAATGTATCTGACTCTAGGCTACCAGAGTGGCCCGGGACCACTTGCCCAGCAGGGCCAAAAAAAAAGAAAAAAAAAAGAAAAAAAAAAGAAAAATAATAAAAAATATATATATATATATCGTCACAAATATATATATATATATATCGTCACAAACAGAACTGCCTGGTAAACCATAGGCAGAGAGAGAGAAGAGGACAACAAACGAGGGGCTGTGGCAAAATATATATATATATATATCGTCAAATAGAACTGCCCGGTAAACCGTAGGCAGAGAGGGAGAAGAGGACAACAAACGAGGGGATGTGACAAACTGT